TGTGGGTGGTAGTGAGAGGAGGGGACCCCGCGTCTGCTGCTGTCACGCTGAGGATATGCTGAGCCGTGTCCTCCCGGTCCAGCGCCCTCACAGTCACCAGCTCGTAGTAATTCTTATAGGCTGGCCGCAGGGAGAAGAAGAGCTGATGGTCGAGGGCACAGGACACCTTGCCGTTGGCGCCGGCATCCCTGTCCCTGACAGTGAAGAGGGCAACCACCGTGCCGGGCGCGGAGTTCTCGGCGAGGGGACTGCTGAAGGAACTGACCACCAGCTCGGGTGCATTGTCATTCACATCCAACACCTCCACCAACACCTTGCAGATTGCCGAGAGCCCCCCACCATCTGTGGCCCTCACACGGAGTTCGTGAGTCTGTGCTGCCTCAAAGTCCAGAGGCTTTGAGAGTTTAATTTCACCACTCTTGGGATCAATCTCAAACGCTGGGTTGCTCTGCTCCCCTGCTTGTCTGAATTGATAAGAAATGTCTCCGTTAATTCCTTCATCCTGGTCAGTTGCCAACACAGTCAAAATCACAGAGCCCTCTGGTGTGTTTTCCAAAACCCTTGCAAGGTACACCTCCTGTGTGAAGACTGGGGAGTTGTCGTTTGCATCCAGAACTATAATGTGAATTTGGGCGGTCCCACTCCTGGGTGGAGAGCCCCCATCCACAGCAATCACACTGAAATCCATCTCTGTCTGCTCCTCTCTGTCTAGGGGCTTTTCCAAAACAAGTTCAACGTATTTGTCATCGTCATTTCTACTGCCAAAGGAGACACTGAAGTGCTTGTTCTCTGGAGCAATTCTGTATGCCTGCACACTGTTGCTGCCAACATCAAGGTCCAGAGCACCCTCCAAAGGGAAACGAGAGCTCGGATCGCTCGTTTCGGGGATCTTAAAAGTGACTCGTTCCTCGGGGAAAACAGGCGAGTGGTCATTGATGTCGTCGAGGGTGACCTCGACCCGAAAGAACTGCAGCGGGTCGGCCAGCAGCAGCTCGAAGGGGAGCGTGCAGGTGTCGGCCTGGCCGCACAGCTGCTCCCGGTCCAGCCTGTCGGCCACGACGAGGCGGCCGCTGGCGCGGTCGAAGCGAAAATGCTGGCGGCCGTCCTCCGACACCAGGC